TAGTTAATAATCTCAAAAATTTGCAAGAAGTGCAATCAGTTATTGAATTCTAACAAGTATTACAAGTAATATCACAATCTTAGCATTATCCATCGATTTCAGTAGTTCCAGGCTTGCAAATGCAAGTTTTAGTTACTTAGTTTAGAATTCTCATTGAATCACATTCAGTACACATCTTAGCATTAATTGAGCAACTTTGACAATTCTGATCACATTTATCACATAAAACTTGATCAATTTCAAAATAACCTGTATTACATAAACAACTGTTCCCTTCAAAATGTCTCGTTTATTCACATGATGTACAATAAGTTGCAGTGTTTTAACAAGTCATACATGAAATTTAGCATTTTTTACAATCAAGAGAGACTCCATCATCAAAATATCCAGGCAAACAATCGCAGACTCCTTTATTAAAAAATCTGAAAGAAATTGACTTGTCTTTACAGGATTCACAAAATTCATTTCCAAAAGAATTACAAGCCAAACAAGAATAATGGCATTTTTAACATTCTTCAACTCCAATATCATAATAAGATTCTATACAATTACAAGCATACATCAATTAATTTAATACTCTATTGAATGTAGATGAGCATGTATCACATTTTGTAGAAAAAGAGGAGCAATACTAACATGAATAGTGGCATTCTATTAATAATAAAATTCTAAAATACTTTAGCATATAGGATTAGATCCATCATCAAAATATCCTTGTTAACAAATACATCGTGAAATGGATAAAGTTCTAAAAGTGTTTGGAGCACAAGTTAAACAATTTGTAAGTTTATTTTCACAAGTTTCACATCTATAGTGGCATTCTAATATTTAGGTTTACAAGTATACATTAGCATTATGGTTATCCAATATCAACATTTGGTGAGGCACAAACACAAGTAGAATTAGTCAAAATTCTACCTTCACTATCCAAACATTTAGTACATTGATTAATTTCAGATCCATTACATTCTAAGCAAGAATAATGACAACCTATGATAAATTAATTAGAACTAACTTAGACACTCAGTTTTGCCTGATTTTTCGTATTTGCTTATGAGGACACCATTGATCTTATTTGGACATATACAAGTATTGCCCTGTAAGAATCTATCTGATTTACAAGAGATACAATTATCTGCAAAGTTTTCACAATTCAAACAACGGGGATTGCATGCAAAAAATATAATTTGATTAATACCTAAACAACCAGCTTGTCCAGGATCATAGTAACTATTCATACATAAACAAGACCCAGATGGATCCAATTGTCTCATAATTTAAGTATAACATGATGTGCATTAATTTGATTCAGGTCCATTACATGTTAAGCAAGTATAATGACAGGCTAGTTTGAATTATATATAAATACGAATGCAAATTGGATTATTAGGTTATTCATACATATTAGTTTGGCAAGAACATGCATTATCTGTTCCTAGATCCCTATAAGATTAGAATGGACAAGCTGTACAATTTTCTGTTTTAACACTGCAACTAGAACAACGATATGAACATTCTAGTCTTTACTATATTATTTACTGTAGCACATAGGGTCAGCCTATTTTTCCAAATAAATATCTGGACATAAACATAGATTATTCTTCAATATTCGATTGTTACTATTCGCACACGTCAGACAATTATTTTCAGCTGGACCAAAGCAGGTCAAACACTTATAATGGCAAGCTTTTAATAATCTTAACAATTACCAGAACAGATTAATTAGCCTTTGTCATAATATCCATTAGGACAAATACATTTCTACATTGATAATTGCCGATAAGCAATGTTGCAGGTTAAACAGTTACTATCCTAACCGCCATTACAAGTTAGGCAAGTGAAATGACAATCCTAACATTCTAATTTTGTGTCATCGCTATATTAGTGTGAATTTTTGCACAAGCATTGAAAAACGGTTCCTATTTAATCAGGTTTTCTTGTTACTGGACAACTTGTACATTAATCTACTCCAGGTAAAGTACAACTAGAGCATGTATTATGGCAAATTTCTGTAAAATTGATATATTTAATAATTTACATTTACAGAACATATCGTTGATTCCAGTATCAAAATAACCTAATTTACATTAACACTGACTATCGGAAGTCAGAATACGATTGGAGGATGATGAGCAGGTTGTACAATTATTTGCTAAGAAACCATTGCAATGTTCACATGAATAATGACATTCTAAAATAAAAAAAATAATTACTAAAGCAAACTTCAGAAATGCCATCATCACCATAACCTGTTCTACAAACACACATAAATTAATCAGAAACAACTCTATTCTATCCTTATAAACACATTGTGCAATATTAATTATCAGTATTATCAAAAGGCTTGTAACATTTCTCGCATTTAGGATGGCAAGCTAATATGCATAAAATAGACTAAAGTACTTTCACATGAAGTAGTCCCATCACTTTTGTCCTAATCAACTGTTTTTGGTATGCAAATACATTAACCAGCCACTAATTATTTTTTTTATATCATAGGGTCTCCACAATCAGTGCAGTCTTCTGAATTTGGGCCATTACACTTGTAACATGATTTATAGCAGTCTAAATTAAAATAGCACACAATTACATTAACAAATGAAATCAGTAACCCCAGTCCAATATGTTCCTTAAGGGCAATCTCTTGTATAAATTACAAAGTCTCTGATGCCAAATGACTATGAATAAACAGTACTAGATAAAGTAGTAGTAAAAGTGACATTTAATTGACTACTCGTATGATCTAATTCTACTTCAACTCTATAAAACAATGTTAATATTAGTTTTTATCCTGTCTCTCCACAAACATAAGAAGGGTAACCATCGTCAGAATAAAAAGTTTTCTCCCATACCTTAGCACCATTTACTACCATAGATGCTACTTTTGAATCCCAATTCTCAATTCTCGCCCATAAAAATTAAATCTTCAATTTGAAATGTTTTGGAATGTTAAAAAAGGACTGACTGAGAACAGTATTCTTACCTAACTTGTTAGAACCGCCAAATAAAGCAGTAGCTAATTCATATTCATTCTTTTTTACATCCACATTATGTAGCTTCAGCAATTCCTTAATTTATATTCCAACCTTCGGATGATAATTCGTTTATATTTAGTTAGGCCCAACCACTAAAAAATACTTACCAACCTAAACATTAAATAGTTAAATCAGTAGCTTTGCATAGTAAGCATCCATCAGGACATGTCTCAACATATATATAAACATCTCTAATTCCCCAAGATTACTTAAAAATATTCTAATTTTTTCTTACGTAACTAGCTGGTTATTTTATATCAGTCATGAGCAAAATTACGGCTGTAGGACTTGAATGAGTACGAACTGCCTGAAGACTAAAGCATGAGTCACCCACTTAATCATTTCCACACATTGAATTCTGCTGACTTGGAGCTACTTAAACCGAATATGACATATCCTGATCAAAATAAACCATAAATTTTTACTTATTCCACGAATCAATGCTATAATATTTACAGATCTTACTTGCAAAATTACAATACCAATTTTAATTAATAATGAGGTGGAAGTGCAAAAGTCTTTGTAACTGTTGTGTCTGCAAAAACATTATAACCTCCAAATAATGTCTTGCTTGAACATTATGTGATTTAAGGTTAAGCTCCAATTACAACCCAATCTAAATTCAAATGAATTTTAATTACTATCAGGATCAGAAAACGTACTTCCTGTAAATGAAGTTGAAATCATTTTTTGATATCCAAAAACTTTGATAATGCAATTCAGATAAAGAATTATTGCAAATCTAGATTAAATCATTAATATAATTAATGATTTAATATAATTTAGGATATATAAAATAGGTGAAATTTCTGACAAAAAATAAAATTTTAAAAATCAATCTAGAAAAAATATACGTCTTTTTGGTAGTCAATGTTTTAATTTTATATTTGTGCTTAATAATAAGCTTCCTCTATTAAATATTATTTAAATTATCAATCTCTATCAATAGTATACCCAATTTCAGCTTAAAATGCCTTATTTACAAATAAAATAGAAATTTAAATTAAATTTTGCACCCAAAAGCAAACTAATAAGGGAATTTGTATATAAAATTATTTTCTAGCTTATATTTAACATTTGAATTAGATTCCAATTTTTTCTGAAAACTCAACACCAAATATAACTAATTAAAGAGCTGTAATGAAAATCTTAAATATAACACTCAATAGGAAGATTTTGAAAAAATTTAGTGAAAAATTTCATTCTGTGTGCATACCTTAACATATAGATTAATTGGAATTAATCCAGGTATCCTTTACAGTGAAAATAATATATTAGAAAATAATAAATTTAATTTATTCAAAAATTTAAGCTATTATAAATTAACAAAGGCCCAAAATAGAATGAGTTTAATAGGATTATGATTTGCACTGAATAAAATTTTATGCTTATTTAGAGCAAAAATTAGAATCATTATAAATGAAATGTTTTGTTTGTATAAATACTAAATTTGTATTCTAAACTCAATATCAAATCACATTATTGATTGTAATGATACAGTTTTTCTAAAAGGATTAGCTTTAGAGACTTTGAGAAACTCAGTGAGCTTGTTGAGAGTTGGCAATTTAAAAAACAAATATCTAATTCGAAATCAAGAATCTATTGCATAAATATTAGGACTAGTGTCTTCTAGATAACCTGATAAGTAATTTGCATTCTTTTTCACTTTTAATTTTGAACTCCTTCTTTTTCGGGTTAAGTAGGATAGTCAGTTTGTTACTAAAGAAAATAAAAAAAGATATCATTTAGTGTTTTTAGGAATAAAATAAAGGTTCTGAATAAGCAAACGATAAGTTCCTGAATATATTCTATACTTCTCTTTACTTTTGACCTTTCCTAAAAGTTCTCAAAGCATAATTAATAGGTTTAGTAATCTTATCATTTTTTAAATATTACCATATTTTCGAATTTGCAGGCTGCCTTATATGAAACTCATTAAATACATAGCTTAGTAACTAAATCAAAATGCCATATTAATAAATGGAAGGAGACTTGGAAAAGGACATTTTTGGATATCAAAGTGCTTTTTTAAGGGAAGGATGGTATACTACTTATGGTAGATTTGATGATATAATAAATGCATAAAAGGGAAAAGATATTGATTTGGATAGGAAGATTATAAATTTGAGTCAAGAAATTCAACAAAAAAAAGATTAAACAACACTATATAAATAACCAAAAGATTCAAGCGCAATTAATCAAAAATTGGATTAGATCTTAACTCCAACTCAAGGAAACAGCAAGTGAGATTTTATGTAAAATCTTATAAAAAAGTAAAAATTTTAAAAAGAATAGTATATTTTGTGAGAATAATGATATTATTTGAGTTGTAAAATTGATTTCTTTTTGAAAAAAATGGTAAAAAAAAGATTTAATTTAAAATATTTGTAATTTAATAGAATGATGAAAAATTAATATCTAAATTTTATACCCTCACAGGCAATCATATGATTAATACACACTAAGCAAAGGAACAAAGAAAAAGAAATTGAATGGTAGAAGGATTATTGCAATTTATATTTGATGAACTCCTGTAATCAACCAGCTAGATCGAATAATAAGAAATGTAATTAAATTTGCAACACTAAAAATATTAGTAGGATGAAAATTAATCCTAAAATCATCATCTTTTCTTTGCAAGGCCATCGTATACTTTCCTTCAAAGTACGCCAACTAAAAAGGCAAATTAATTTTATTTAGCTCAAAGTTTTATTTATTTTTATCTTTAGACTCCTTCTTCTTAGTGTAGGTCAGATATTATATCATTGTGTTCCCATTGATAATTACTTTTCAAAATCACATACATAATAGTTTATTTCTCCTTCTATAATCATTAAATGGATTTAGATTAGTTTTAATTTTCTTTCCCCAACTTAGAAATATCGGTTTATTGGATTTCTAATAGATTAGTAGCCTACTCATTTTGTTTTATTCTAGGATTAGGTTAAATTTAGATATTCTTTATTGCAAGCATCTTATTTTAATTAGGATTTAATACTTATTTTAAATTACTCCATTTTTCATTTCAAAACTCTAGTGGGTTTAATTGGCATTCCAATTCTAATATCATATTCTCCTTTATCTCTTGTTTTATTCTTTCTTATTTTATAGGGATCTAATTTGTTTGTAATTAAAAACTTCTTATTTCACCTTTGTAGATGCATAGATTTCTCTTTATTTAATTTGTAACAGGTTATGGTCTTTCCTTATATAATTGAAAATGGTTCAAATTTTTTGTAAAATTAAGTTTACTTTATAAATTTATACCAATTTCTTTTCTAAGTTTATTTTCACCAAAAGCTGCAGTCTTCAGTATGTCTATCTTTTTGAAATAAGTTCTTTTATTCAATATAATTTATTGTATGTAAAATATTTAGGAATGGTGAATCTATTTTAGATTTATATTTGAAACGTTTATTTCTCCTATTAATGAGACAACCACATGCTTCCCAATTCTACATACAAAATTTATTGTAAAAAGTTTAAATTAAGTAATTCAAAAATTCGTAAATCCAATTCTAGAATCGCTTCATATCATTCAATTAGGTGATTTTAAAAGAGACAATAATTTATTATTGATTAAATTTGAAATTAATATAATATATTT